TCGGCAAACTTGTGGCCAGAGGTGTGTTCAGGGAGTGTGCGGAACATGGGTTTGCTCCTGTACAACTTCAATGGAGGCGTCACGGGCCGTCCGACCTGACATTGCGGGAGCCGCTGTGTGCTCCTGGGTTCTCTTATGTGGGGGTGTCAGTTGTCATTCGGAAATTTGGGTGCGAGTCTCAGTTCGTGGTGAAGAGCCAAGTGCGCGGAAGCCGGCATGTAGCAGGCGCACGCGTCTGTCCAATCCCCTGCGACTTTCGGTCTTTGTCTCCCGCGGCTCAACGGCCACCAGTTCTGGCCAGGCACCGCGCCACCACAGCAGCAGTCCTTAAAGGGATATAAGGTCAGGGCCGTCCGGGCCGCCGGGGCAGTGCCTGCTGTTGGGTCGACCGCGGAAGGCCAGGCCGCGCCCCGCGGCCTCCAACAACCGACGGGGGCGCACGGGGCCACGGCCTTGAAATCCCCAAGGACGAGCCGGCAGAAACCTCCCGAGCGATTCTGAGTTCACAAGACTCCAACGGATGGCGATCGCCCACATTCCCTGGCCAGTGGCCCTCTCAGGGGCCGGATTGCTTTGGTGGATTGGGAGGGGGCAACGAGGCTTGCCATCAAAACCCGTTTGCCCTCCAATGCGTCTTATCCAAGAGCGGCAGTCTGTGTTTGGCGGATGGACAGCCCAGCGCAGCGCCAGATGCGTGCTCAAAACGCTGCAGATTTAGCGAAGTCGACCGACGCCCCGTCGTGCCTGAGAGCTGCACGGCGCGGTATGTCCAGGGCTTTCGCGGCTTTTCCCGCCTCTTTCTCCGCTTCTTCTTAGCAGACCCCTCACAGCGGGACCGACGTCCTGCCCATGTCTGTAGGAAGGGCAGCTTACAGTTGATCGGCTATCTAGTTGCACCAGGGGGCCACGCCCTGCCGATGCACAGTGGTGCACGCGGCCAGCTCCGACGCAGAGCTGTTGCGAGAGCTCGCTGGCAGAGGCAACGAGCGCCTGTTGGCATGTTGTAGGACAAAGAGTAGGGTTAGCTCTGCTCTGCCCTGGGCCGATGGCCCAAGGCTGTGCTACTGCCAAGCGCTATTCCAGGACTGCTGTTGCTGTGGGCTTCTCCAACGGCGGGAAGCCGGTCAGCGGCCAACCGCCAGATTGGTGCCCGGCTGCGCGTGCGCGCCGCCAGGAGGTTACCTTAGTGGTTGGCGCAAAGACACTCGGCCGAACTTGTTGAATAGATTCACCTCTGTCTCACTCGGTGCTGTCTGTTTGGGCGTCCGCCGGCAACCCTGGCAGGCCGCCGCTTCGGCACCGAACTAGGCTTGGGCCCGCATACAATACATGCGTGTACTGCTGCTGCCCACCGCGGTGGCATAGAATGCCTCCGGGACGTAAGGGCCTGCACCTGTAAGGGCTTGCGAGCTTTTCCGATACGTATACGGAAGACGCCAGCTTGTTACGATTCAGGGCCGAGGTGGTCCCAGGTTCTACATTTCGAAGTGTTGAAGCGATGAAACCAGTTCCCTCAACCACGCCGAACTCAGTCCAAATCCGCTTTCCATCAAACAACAGGACCAGTTGGGATGGTGATGATGAAGGTAGCGAAACTCCATTAAGTGGGCGCCTGTGATCTTGGGGCTATCGCCACACGACACAACAACAAACAACAGCATTTGCATTGCTAGAGGATAGGGTGCAGCGAAAATGCACCAACGCCTGTCAACATTGATATATGGGCATTTGCTGAAACGTTGCTAGGCAGTGCACAATAGCAATGCAGCCATAATAACACTTCATCTGCCCCATATTAAATGTGCTCTATGACTTTGGCATATTGTCGCTCCCTCGCAGACATTTCTTTTTTCGCAAAAGATCTCATTCAAAGATGGGTTTGTGAGTTTGAGTAGCCGTATTCTTTGCTCTACGGCGACCAAAATTTACTTTTCGCCCTACGCTCATAGTCGGCGGGGCTTACTTTTTCTTCTTGAAAATTGGTAGTTGAGGCTTTGGGGACCCAGTCGGTCCGATTCTAACCTCCTTTTTGTGATTTGAAGCCGTGACTGTGATAAATATTGCCTTTAAACCTAAGACATTAGTATGGGACGGATGATGCCTATATAGGCATCATCCTTCCAATACTAATGTCTTATGGAAAATATATGTTTCCAGTTAAACATATATGTTTCCAGTCAAATGTCTTTAATTTGAAACATTAATGTATACAGTTGTTCAACGACTCTGACAACTCATCCACAAATTATGGAGCAAGGCCACCAGTTATCCCACTCGCCATGGGCAGGTGTGGGGACATTAAGTGGACAGCTGTGCCCATAGCATCAACCACCCACAACTAAAGAACAGGTTGCACCAGGAGAAAAAGGATCAAATAACACATTTTGCAAACACACATGAAATGCCCTTCATCAATTTTCTGCACGCTAAGAACACAAACTCAACCCAAACCCGTAAACTTTGTACACTTTTGAGCACGTGTTGTTTGGCCCTTTCTTTCCTATTGTGGGGATCCCTTTTGGACTTGTGAATGTCGTGCACATTTGGAGGCAAGTTATTATACTAACTGGGAGCACCTACGTAGGTGCTGCAGGTTTTTGCAGCGCACTGACAATCGGAAATCGCACATTGCAGAGAGGAGGTGGTTGCATTGTACGTCTCTGCGCTGACGCTCTGGAAAATGGAAGTGCAGCCCCCCCGTGAGTGTCCCCGTTGCCGGGTATGGTCATTGGTTTGGCGCAGCGAATTTGTAACGTTGGTTAAGTCACAAAGGGGACAGACCGTGATATGATGGCCCCCTGAGCAGACCATGTCTCTTAACATGTGTTGCATTTCTGGAGCGCAGCAGTGACAGAATGTTCGAATCATCATCGAAATTTTGTGACGTGTGCCACCAAAAATGCGTTAGAAGCTCCCTAGGTATTTTGGATATCCGTGTTGTGGCAAACGCGAAGCGCCAGGGCATCTCCAGCGAGGAGGAAGAGAGCTTGAGAAATGGACTGCCCTGCCATGTGGAGTGAATGAAATAGCAGCTGACGGGAGCGTGACTGCGTGTAGCGCTGCGCACATCCACAGTTGGGCACTATACAATTTGTAGCCTAGCAGGTTGTTGACCATTTTGTTGGCCACCTTTGAGGCCATTTGGCTTCAAAGCTTGTGAAGTTGAGTAACTCTTTCAAAGCAAAATTGCGAACCACTACCTCTGGCGCGTTCCAAGTACTGCATCCAATTCCATGTCTTCTTACTGTAGTTCGGCAAAAAGCTTGTCCATTGCCTCCTTGCTTGTGTATAAGACTGGCTACTCCACGAATGTGTCACGATTTTTCCACCGAGCTGCGCTTCCTAGGCGAGAGCACACAGTACCTGCATTGATCATGGAGAACCGTGCATGTAATTGAATGCACGGTCGATCGATTGAGCGCGATCGGATGCAACAGACATGGGCTGAGTACATTCAGGCCCTGGAATAGCGAAGACTTTTCGGGGACCAGTGAGTAAAGAATATTTACAGACAAATTTGACGCATTTCTCTTCTGGATTCGGATGATCGGAATACATCAGTTTGTTAGCCGTCTGCCACCCCTCGCAGCGCTCTTCACAAGGAATCAACTATCCCTAAGTCAATCCCTAAGGCAACAGACAAAGTGCACAAATCCCACCACATGCTCTACAGCAAGAAGGGGCCCGGAAGCCTTGGAGCCCCGTGAACCATCAGCATCCGTCAGCCAGTTCCCCTGACGACTCGATTAGCCGCCCAGCAGCCAAGAAAGCCTGCCGAACATCCCTGCAAGCACCTCAAACCCACCAGTGCCCTGGGGCACCACGCCCATAATCAAAATCCACGCTGAATCCCCAGCAAAATCTGGATGCCACCTAAACAACTAAATGCCAGAAACAGTGTAGTTCGTTTCAGTGCGAGTCTTCTGTGCATTTTTGATGGCCGCAATTGTCAATTCGCGCCTTGGAAGGCACCTGCATCCGAACCTACCTGACCCCAACATACCCACAACCGCCTCCTGTAAGTACCATGGGCAGGTTTGCCGCTTTCACGTTAATACCGTCAACCATTACAAATATGTTACTCCCCCAGCCCTTACGAATCAAAAATCCAGACCTACGGATCTCTCCACCTCACAATTGGCCTAAAATCGGGCCACCACGGCCTGGTTTTCTCAAACCTGGGGCTACCCAAGCCCCATATGTAACTTGAATTCCCGGCAGCTGTTTCATCCTGCCAGTGCAAATGGGTACTGCCAGTATGACTTATAAATGCAAAAGTTGCCATCGCCATTTTCTAATCATAGCATCTTCATCACCTCCAAAAAATGATTGCTCATCCTCCATGCTCAACAAGCAGTAGCCAAAGTTTCCCCATGCGCAGGGCACTGTTTCTGTAACCTTGCGCCCCAGCTGGGTTTTACTGACAGCCGGATATGACCCTCCACGGATTTCAGTTAAACTAAATGCTGACAATCATGGCTGCCGCGTCGAGGCTCGAACGAACAGCTGCCGACACGCAATCAAATCCCTGTCGTTCCTTTTTTAACAGGAATCAAAAAGAAGGAATCAAATGCAGCCATCGATTCTCTAAGCTGGCCTTCGCGCGATTTTCAGGATCTCGTGCTGTCCATGTGCGCAGCCCCCAGTCACGCGTCATCCGAAGCTACCTGCCATCGCAAGCCAGTTGCTCAACATGAGAAATACCACGAGCGTTGGGCAACATCGAGATGCGAAATTTCGTCAGTTCATCGGCAGCACTGGCGACGCCAAGCTGGTTTTGTTCAAAAGCAACACCCGAAGCAGATAAAGGCACCATCTCAAGAAGGGAGCTGTTGCAGAACTCGAGTCTTTCAACGTGCTGAAAGCGATATTTGTAGATTGCCTTGCGATGCTTCAGGACAGACGCTCTTGTAGACATTCGGATCCAAGGCCCGCGGAAGAAATAACATGGGCCTTCAAAATGACAGCCAAGCTTCTCCGCTACCTTGGCCAGCGATGCACTATTTGGCGCCACTCGCGTTGGCTTGTTGGCCGCCAGAAACGCCTCCCATCTTGCCTTTCTTCACTTCGTTCATGCGCTTCTTCAGATTTGCATTCTCTCTCTTGATTTGAGTGTTCTTAATTGAAAGAGCACGGACCTAAGGCACGGAAGATGCAGTGGCGCTGAGAATGGAAGCGAACTGGGGAATGGACTTGTTGAGCAGGCAAACTGTCACGCGAACCCGCGCCACGATAAAGAAGAGTCTTACTCTATGGAAATTCGCTCACGATTACAGGCACTAGTGAAACCAATATTCGTCAACATGCACGCCATCGTGTGATTCGTTAGTAGTTGTTGTATGCAGCTCTTGAAGCACCCACCTATCGGCTTTTACCATAGCGTTATGGATATCGTGCAAATGAAGCAGGGCCTTTGATGAAAGTTGTCCATTCTCATATGCAAAAGCTGCAGGCTTAATTGTTGGAAGCGAGAATTGCGTGGCAGTTATTGCCGCATTTTAATTTTAAGTACATCACAGTGGGAATGCTTCAGAAATATCTACGATTGCCTCATTATTTACCTCACGACTACGTTTTGTTAATCTGTCCTGCAAAATTCCGTCAATGCTAATAATCAATATACGATCAACTCAGGCAACAAGAAAACGTCTTGAATGCTTTACATTGCGTAGTTGGAAAAATGTTCCTCAGCATTGCATGCTCATTCTAATTCGTTGTGCATTGAGCACAGTGAATTGAATTTTTTTTGTTTTGCCACAGGATCAATGCCTCGTCGTGCTAGCCGCCATCAGCACAAAAAACTTCTTCGTCCTTCGCCTCTAACTTGCCTTTCGGTTCAAGGTTGAATGCGTTCGCGCCAGCTTGGTACTTTGACCTACAGCTATCATTTCCCGATATGCAACTCATGAAGAGAATGAAGGGCCTCAACAATTACGAACTAAGAATGTCAAGTCCGGAAATGACATTCATGATCTTCCCGTTCAGAAATGAAGCGTATCAGATATTTGCGCAGCTTCTCAGCGGGACTGGCTTCGAATTGGCTACCTTCTTCTTGATGTGAATTAAGATGCAGCAGAGCTGCAAGCACACCGATTGCGTTCACAACGACACGCAGAACAAATGGCTGTGAACGTTGACATTCATTTCTTTATCGCTGGGGGAATTTCAAAATTGCTCCGTGGACCCTGGGATTGTGAAGATCTCTCTCAGCAAGCAGCGGCAGGCGCAGTACACTTTCTTTGTCCGGAATAGATGTCGCCTTTGTTTGCGAGCCTGCATCTGTATCAAGAACTTACTGTTGTTCTGGAACTTTTAGCCAGGGCGATAACTGTGAGTCTACGACATGCCATGATTTTTTTGCTATGAACTGAAAAGCGCAGTAGTTGGGACCCTCTCGACTCAGGTAGAGAATTCGAAAATTTTCAAGGTCTTGTTGAACTTGCAGCGTCCCACAGTGGGCCCATTCCCACAATGCCCCACCGTACAGTGTGAGGAGGGTGGAGCTGCCGACGCCATTAAGAATCAGCGTGGCGGCGGTTGTCCTGAAGCAATAGGGCTGCTGAGGCCCAGGCAGCACCGTGCAATACAAAAGATGGCGCCAGCGAACAACATGGCCCGCTGACTCCCATCAAAAGGATGGCGCATACACCTGGGATTGAATGACGGCAATTAATGGTAGGAAAGGTGTTTTTAAAGGTATTCGGGACCTGGTGTTGGCAAATTGGCTAATTCGCAAGGCGACATGAAATTCCGGACAGGGGCAGTACGATGTTGAGTGTCTGTGCGCTATCAAATCCTGCCAATCCCAACGTTTGTTGCACAGCGCTGCAAGCACCTCTCAAGGGAAAGCGGATACAAGGTAAAAGATTGCTGCAGATATGGGCAAGTGCAAAGGACTTGCGCTTAACACCTTTGTCACGTGTCAACATGTGGGGGGTCATGTGGCATGTCCTTGATTGATTGGATTTCTGCGGGTGGTACAAGCAGACCAGCAGGCTGGAAATGACATCGTACACATTTCGCCCAGATCTGCCCAGGCTGATTGGTACGCCCACAAGGTCCCACGCTCCGCTCAGGATACTGAAGCGTCCGCCCGCAAGGTGGTTGTGCTCCGTCACAGAGCAACAGCATTCCGGCGCCCGACCACCGCCACCGCAACTGCAAAAACGCCGCGGTCCCGTACGCCCGTGCCCCCCCTTCACCTTCTCCCTCAGGCTGGAGGAGTCGCCCTCGAGGGCCGCGATCCTCTTCCTCTGCTTCTCGCGGAACACCCTCTGCGCACGCCTGTTCCTCTCCCTTCGCCGCTCGTCGCGATCCACGTCCTCCCTGAAGCCCTGCGTGCCCGCGGGCCAGGACGCAGACCTCGCGGGCCCGGACGGTGCGCTCTGCTCTGGTGGCGCCAGACCCGAAGGGCGCACTGGCCCGCTCCCGAGCCGCCTCAACGCACCCCTGCCGGACGCCGCCAAAGCGCAATCCGTCGCCGACCGCACTCTCACTTCAATTTTCGGTCCGCGCGCGACAAAAATAGAACTTCGGCAGCGCGACAAGAATAGAAGCGCTGGCATGGACACCTGCCCAGCGGCGCACGGCAGCCCTCCCCCGCGTGCAACGCGCCCCCGCGTCCCAGCCCATGGCCGAACAAGTGCCGGCGTTTCCTCTCGCCACCAGGCGGAGGATCCGCGCCTCTGCTCCCGCCCACCTGCGCGCACATCCTCGGCCAGAAACCCGCGAGGTCACCTCCGGATGGTCACACATTGCCTCACCGGCGCCCCGCGCCAGCGCCTGCACCTGCTCCGGCGTCAGCACCACTACCTGCCGCCCCTCTCCGAACGGCGACCCCGGCAGGCGGACGATCTGACCCTGAAGTCCGCCGGCGTCGGCCAGCTCCACGGCCACGCCCAGGCTGCCGCCCCGCTGCGGAGCGTCGGCCGTGCGCGGCATCTGGTCCGCCGTCTGGCCACTGGTCGGACGGGCGACATTGCCGGTCACCGGAGCGCCTCCACGCACGGCCACAAGGGCCAAAGATGCGGCGCTGAGCCCCGCCGTTGGGGCGGGCTGGGTATAAAGGCTCAAGTTCGGATCGCCGGCTTGGGCGGGGGCGGGCTTGCCAGGCCCGTGGCGGGCGCCCAGCTCGTCGGCCATGATTGGTAAAAGTCTACCATGCGGCGGCGTGGGGCACGGGGGCAGATTGGCGCTGTAAGGTTTAGGCAGTGGCGGGGGGGGGGCATCGGGCTGGTGTAAGCTCGCCGTCAGAAAAGCCGACTGATCGGGTGTCGCACCGAGCGCTCCATGCCGCACTACACCAAGAGTTCGGGCAATTTTGGTGTCAAAGTGCGCCTGATTGGATGCAGGCGTGTGGTATGGACGGATCAGCGGGAGGGATGAAGCGCGCTGGTGCCCGGGGGGGTCGCGCTGGTGTCGCAATGTCTGTCGAATTGCGCAACCAAATCCGCGCGAAGCAGAGGCACCTCCCGCCGCCCGTCAGGCGGCCGCCCCCAGCCCCCGCAGGGCGAAAGCCTGCCCTGCGCCAGGCGTCACAAAGATAGGCGAGCCCCCTGTTGTCGTGGCTGGCGTTCGGGGCGACGCTCCTCACGCGCGGTCGCTCCGCATTCGGCGCGGCATGCGGGCGGGGACAGAACCCTACGTCCAGCGCCCAGCGGGACAGCGCGGACCGCGCCTTCACAATTCAGCCAGTGCGGCCGCCCGCGATCCAGGGCGAGCCGCAGAGAGCACGGATCGACCCCCTGCCGGGGTCACACGGAGTCCCTCCCCGCCAGGCGGCGAGCGCCCTTGGAACCGCTGGCTTGCAGTCTGACACGCGGATAGGAAGCCGCCAACCGCTGACGCCCGCCTTGAGAAGCGGCAGCCATCATGCGTGTGATGTGCAGATCTGCTTCCAGCGGGTGGGCCAGCACACGCGGCTTCCAGACGCGGGTTGGTGAGGCCGCGGAGGGCAGGCCTCATATTCCCGATGCAGCAAAAGGCGAGGCAGCAAACGAACCTAACCTGCTTCCCCTTCAGAGAGCTGGGCTCCTAGTGACACGTGCGCGGCCTGGCGGCGTGCTGTCAGACGGCACGCGCCGTGTGACGCACGCGGCTTGTGGATTCGCCGCAAGCAACCCAACCTAAACTTGTGGGTCGAGGCGGTGTCCTGGGTTGTGTGTTGCAACCTCTCGGAAAGCATCACCTGATCAGGGGACTGGGGCGACCATACAACGGGCCGCCATCCACGGAAGATGCAGCCATTGGAGGGACGCGGGCTGGCGCCTCGTGCTGTGTTGTTCAGCAAAGTGTTGCATCGCAAGCTTGCATGTTGTCCAAAATGACGCCTGCCCACGGATAGTGAGAAACAGCTGCCAAGTAAGAATTTGTTGCCCGCCGTGCTTTCTGGCGTGCCTGACAGTGCACGTGCGCCTTTGCACCAGCGACAAGCCAACAGTGCCGCAGTACTGCAAATGGCTTTTGAGCAACCTGGCACAACAAAGCAAAAGTTGTTGCATGCTTGAAGCAACGCTGAAATCAGGGCTGTCCTCATATTTCCCTCCTTTCGAGTTCTTATGCGCTTGCAAACGTTGCAACGTTGCCCCTTCACAATGGCTGCCGAGTATAAGCACAGTACGGAAGAACCACAGCTACGTTCGATCTGGGATTAGGTTTGATGTTTACGCAACATTGTGGCTGCATTGCCATCGACACAATGCAGAGCAACGCTGCAACAAATGCCCATACAGAGTTGTTGACGAACTTTAATGCGCATAGCATCGTTGCGCCAACGTCGATACACATTACATGCAGCCACCTTTTTCTGCGTTTCCCAACGTTGCACCAATGAGAATGCACCCACGATGTTGTGTCTGTTTTCACCGAAATTGCCTTATGGAAAGGATACAAGGGGCTTCAAAGACATGCCGTGCATGCACGGCCGGTGCTGCGCAGCACCGTGTTCTTCAAGAAAATTAAGCACACACAGCACCTCGGATTGTTCAATATTCCGAGGTGCCTTAAGCAGGCTTGCTTTCTATGTTTATGCTCATATTTTTGCATTTACGTTTTTAAGCGCAAAACGTAAATCTGCAAAAGGGGCCATTTTTACGGCTATTTTTACGTTTTTGTGACTTGCTGGGACACGATAGGTTACACGATGAAAGTCGCGTACAATGATAAGTCGTCCGCCATCTCCTGCACCCGCAGCACAGTGTCCACCTCGCCCCCGGAAAGGGCAACGCTTGCGTGGAACCAAAGTTCATTTTCTCCTCATCCCGGCGCGTCTGGCTGTCACTGGCTGGACTCCTTAAGTTTGTATGTACTGTCCTATTTATTGACGTGTAAAAACGTGGAAACTATTGTTAGGTGTAAGAACGTAAATATGTTCAGTTTTTCTGCCGTAAAAACAAAACCTAGTCCTAAGTAGGGAAGCATACCGTGTATGCAAATTTCCGTGGCAGGTTTCACACACATGTCGATAGTGCCCGGGCGGAAAGCACCATTTTCATGATGCCGGTTCCGAAGCCATTTCGACAATGGGTGGGGCCATTGCAGTGATTGTGATGGCGCAGAAATAGCTGCGATGGCATCAATTAGTGCCAAATGGTATCGCAGTCGGCATCGCGAAAATAGAGTTTTTCGTTTGCTGTACGTGATAAAATGGACAAAAAACAATGTTTGACAAGCTAGGATATAATTTTGGATACGTACGTTATGTCAGCCTCTATGTTTTTGCATCTGCGTGCGCTTATGAGCCTTTCAGATGCCCGGCAAATTTCGGCCAAATAGAGAACATGCAGCAAATTTCTGACATAACCTGAACCGTCGCCCCTAATTCCGATCATGCTGTGCTGCAGAGCGGTAATACAGTATTTGCATATATTAGTGTCGTATTCTCTTGAAGGAAATGAGCTTATAAGTTCAATATTAATTAATAGTGGGTGGTGCTCGTCACGGAGAGTTGCATACCCTGGACAGAAATAGCCAGGATATAGGAGCATACATCCCGGACACCACATTTTCCTGCTGCGGTGGCGGCAGTAAATGAATTCTGAAGAATTCAGGATATTGATGCCGTACATGCAGGATATGGAGTGCTAAGATTCACGATACGGTATACCTTGGATAGCGTATTCTGGATGTGGTGTCTGTGCCCATGGGATGTCCAGGGCATGAGATGTAGCCGACATTGGCAATGTCCAATATCATGTGGCAGCATCAATGTCCGGCGAGGTTGGACGAATGAGCACCTGCTTCACAAGGTATAACACCATCTGTACTGCTGATGCACTCGATTCCAGCGGCACAGCCAGGAACAATCTTGTGCGGAAAGGGATCTGCTTTGGTCTTTTCTTGTGAGAAAGCGCAACGGTTTGCAACATCCATGCTATGAGAACGTCATGTAGTAGGGTATTGTCATTGGAACATTGATGGAAATCAACACGTGAGTTCATATGCACGACGGTTTCTTAGTACGGTGTTACCAATTTTGGAGTGTGTCTGTGCTCTCTCCTTCTGCGGCGATTGACACTTGATGAAGCCAGATTAGCGGCCCGCAACGGTATCCCAAGAGTAAGCAGGGCGATGATCTAATGCTGCAAGGTATTTTGATGGTGAGAAACACACGAAATAGGCTGAGCATCGGGGTTGCAATATGATACTCCAAAGCCTGCTCTCAGATGAATTGGATCCAGAATATCAATCTCGCCCACACATTAAAAAAGCGCACATTAAAATGCATTGCGCCATGTCATGCATTCTTTCCTGCAGCTGCCGCATCGCACTGCCTGCTGGAGACTACTGACATTTTCCGCATCAAAAAATCTGAGCAATACAAATACAAGTTCTTTCCGATGAGAACCATCTCCGTCACCATTCAGTTCTTTGAGGCTTCTTTCGACACTGTTTCGATTATTCGGCAGCTCTGTCCTCAGACTGCTATTCCCATAAATCAACTTTCTGGGGCTTCGACCGTGCAGACCTAGATTTAGCATGGGCGCTATAAATCCAAAGGCGCCTCCCTCCGTCCTCAATGCCATCTCCGCCACTAGCGCCACACTCTGCACACACACTCCCTCATCCAACGCAATGGCGATAAGAGTAAGACTTTGGTCTTGGCACTTTCCTCTGCCACAGTCTTAGAAAAGAATGAATATTTTTTTCGCAACCTGATCCTGCATATCCATGGGCTGTTGAACCAATACTGTACATAGCCACTGCCAGCTTTCAATCCTGGCAGTCAAATCCCTCTGGGCGAACGCCACGCCCACCAATCTTGAACTTGAGATTCGGTGCAGGGTATCGTTTGCTGCCATCAAAGCTGCTCCCAATCGCGAACTGTGGGAAACAGAGCTTTCAGCCATTACTCCATCGTCTCCAACACCTTGCAGAATGACAGCCTCTTTGGCAGTGAACTGCGCGACCTTGTGCTTGACCGTCGCTTCACCGAAGACAACCAATGGACCTTGGTGTTTGCCGGTGTTGCCACTATTGCTTTCAGCTCTCCAGCCTGTAATTTGGCCGCTTCAAAATTGGAAAAAAATTGTGGGGGCAAAAGCCCGGCTGTTGACGGCTGCCCCCCCGTCTTCCGAAACGAAATGCCGTCATTTGTCACAAGCACCTGCGCCAAATTTCTATGCACCAACATGGCAAAAATCCATTAGAAGAAAAGAAATAGAGTAATTCCCACGCGGCTTGGCACTTGAGAGTCCCCACCAACCCACACACACCGGACCACCAACCCCTGCATAGCTATCATGGTTCTTTCGAGAACGGTTCAGCTCCACGTTTCAATCTTCCGTCGCCATTGGCTGTGCGCAGCACGCACATGTTGCAATCCCTCTCTTCATGTCGCGGGCTTGTCCCTCAACGTCATGTTCGCCCGCTACCTGTTCAAAGCCCAGCAATTCTTTCCCTTAAGCAGGCTGTTGAACGACATGCTGGCTGCGGCGGAGGGC